ATAAATATAGTAAATTATTTTATAAGTTTTAATTAAAATTATTATGTTTTAAATAAATTAATTTTAGCTTAAAGCATTAGTCCGTTTCTACAAAGTGTAAGTTTAATTATCATCTCAGAGAGTTTAACTAATTCTTCATCTTTTTCTAGTTACAGAATTAGAGAAGTGTGAAGAATGAATTGAACTGAGATTAAAATTAATGTACAATTGGTAGAAACGAGCATAAGTAATTTAATACATACATGTGTAATTAAATCCTATATGATTTAATTTAACTTAACGTGTAATTTAATATTAATGTATTTAATATTATCGTATCGCTAAATAATTAAAATGCTTTTGTTTTGACACATTTTTTTTGATTAAATAAATGATTTAAATAAAAAAACAAATTGCATTCAATCTTTTGATATATTGCGTAAATTGTTTAGTCAATTCATTTAACAACTGTTGCGAATTGTCAATATGATCGTTTTGTTGTTGAACAGAAATTACGATAAAAATTTCTCAAGAATGAATTAAGATTCATATCACTTGATAATGAGTTAAATAAACGTTTGTATGTAAAACAAACTTTGCTCAGAAATACGCATCTTTTACAGCTTGTAAAACATTCTTTGTGCGTAGTAAATGCAAATGTATCCAGTAATTTCTAATTATATGTGCTTTAACCATTTCTTTTTGTTAGTTTAAGAACTATGTTTCTACAGATTTATGTTTATATTAGATATTTATTGCGTATACATTCTCTTTAAACAAATGAGAAATAAGGCGACTTGAGTATTACAAAATTTTAGCCTACGCTTTATTTGCATATGTATTGATAGACGCGACAGTGACATTTGCGGTGTCACTGCCGGATAATGCATCCAATCGCGTGCGATTATTACATAAAGTTCCTTTTGGAGAGGATATGACATTTAAGTAATATAAAAATTGTGATGTCATAATTTGATAGCAAGTCAAAGCAATTATTAAATCGAATATCTACAATCTTATTTATAATTTTCTACTTTCTATATTTATTACTTTTTGTATTATTTGACATAGTAAAATATTCAGTTTTACTTCATTGTTTTTTGTATTAATTTGTATCATTAATTATCGAAGACACCTTACGATTTAATTCCTTACCATGTAATTAATTTAAATTAATTTAATCTTAATAAGTTATTCGCAAAGAATACTGACATATAAATTAATACTGCTTTAATATCGCAAATTGCAACAGCGTTATTTTTAACAGGATATTATTATTATGAAATAAGTATGATTTACATATGTAGATATAATACGTAATAGCTTAACCTGAATGCAACTCGTCACATTGGATGCTGCCCTTCGACCGATGTCGTGATTTCGCGTTTCTAAAGACGCACTTATATATCGATGATTTATTCATCGCCTTAACCTGGTCAGTTATGAACTGAATATTCATCATACATCTTCGTAAAAGAAGACCTTTTCATGACAAAGACATAATTTTTATTTAATTTATGCAACTGAGGATCAAATGTCGACAATAAAAAATGAGCGGTTATAAATGTTAAAATGACGCAACTTCTTTTTGCACAATATCTACCGAGTTCAGAAGCCGTCAACTTACTAACATTTCATTTCAGTAATTATACACATGCTAGTATTGGTTGACATAGATTGTATTGTGGTGTAAATGAAGATACAAAAGTAGAGAGATTTCGAAAAAGAACCTATAGTGTATAATATACAAATTTCAATATAATAAAAATAAATACGTTGTAGAAAAAATGTATAAAACTTTGCCAAATTAGACATAATTATACGTAAATATAACCATAAAAATAAAATAATAGAAAGGGAAATTGGTGCATTAGAAATAGTTTTGAAAAATCTGCGATTTCTATACATATACTGACTGACTACTTGTATATCTATGCTTTATTATACGCGTCTCTATTTTCTTAACACATTTAGCAAGCTTTCTACAATGCTGTCTTCTCCCCTTTGTAAATAAAATAAATCGCCGTCTACTGCTCTTCCTTCTCACAATATTATTTTAAAAGATTTAAGTTTTTCAATTTCCACATGCTTCTAATTAATAAAATTAATTCAATTTTTCTTGTTTATAGGATTTTCCGTTGGAGACGAACTAGGCTTTAGCCAATCACTCTCCAATTTGGAAAGTGGAAAAAGAAGGAGCGTTCAAGCGAATAAAATTAATGGAGTTGCATTTACTCCTTTGAATGTAGTAAGTAAAAATTTCCAAAGGAATTCAATCCATTCAGTCCATGCTCGTTTAATTATGTAAGATATTCAGAACATCAATATACCAATTATACATAATCATAATGTATGTTATATAATAAGTATACATACATATGTGCATATATATAGATATCTATATGTATATATTACTTGTATATATGTACAGTATCTATACAACAAAAATATGTGATCGTTCAAGTGAATTGAAACGGGATGATTTTACTTTCGCTTATCATTTATTTCGCATTTATTTGTTGTATTTTCTACTTTCCTTTCTGCCCCGAAGCTCTTTGTACCAACACTAACCATAACACGATCGCTTACGTTATACTTTCGGACTGAACATCCTGTATGCCTATATGGTGATAAATGCATCAGAATATAAACGGTAACCACTCCAATCAACTCATGGAAAGTCCAATGCAGACGAGGATCAGCGTGAAAGCGTTCACTCGATCGTTATTCATGCTGGCGATATCCCCTTTGGAAATCCGCTTTGACCATTCTACAGTGTGCAATCTAATTGCATCTGCTCAGGATGCAGCCTCTTGATCTAGCCTTGCGGGATGTACGTAACGATCAATGATAATCATAAGATTACCCAGATAACGTTCAAGTACCCTAATAGTAGTATATTCTATAATATCATTACTAACTTTTCATTTCGCAGCCACTTTGCCAAAGAAGAGCTTATCTAGTACATCCGCCATTACTTCACAGCTGATATTTCGCTCAGAGAAATTTTAATCTTTATCGCAAAATTTTCGTTATATGGATGCAATCTAATTAAAAATTTTATAATCAAATACAATAATTACAATTTTTACATTAACTTTGTGATTGTATGCGAAATATAATATTTGTTGGCCAAATCCACTTTTACTGATTGTGTTTAACGTAAAGAGGATTATTGAAGTGACTATGATATATTGATGCTTTATTCACCTCAAAAGAAATATGTAGGTCGGAGATCGAACAAGATGAATCAATTTTTCTGTATCGCTACAAGAAAATCTAAATTACATGAACTGTATCGGCCTTGCCGCAACTGGTGCGTGAATGTCGCTCCGACGGCATTCACATCACATATACCATGAATTTATGTGAAGTATAAGTCTAGACTACGATTTTACTAACATTTCTTTAGGCAACGCACGAATGAATGTGCAACTTTCCACAAAGTAGTTTATATTTCAAAATACGCTTTAAATTAATAGAGTTAGCGTTTATAAAAATTAGGTTTAAGAGATGATATTAAAAAATTATTTCTTACTTCACATTAAACACATATTATTTTTATAGGCAAGTAATCGGGATGATATCCGTACAGGATCGGTAAATAATCGCCAAGTAGTACCACCCTTCAAGCCGTTGCCTATCGGAACAATCAGACCGATGTCCCAGCAACCTGAACGTCAAAAACTTGTAGTGAACGCAACAGCTCTTAAAACAGCACCCATGACACCAGCGATGCAGCAAGAAATACTACGCCAGCATCACCAACGAATTCACCAAGAAAATAAGATGAAGCAGCAGCAGAGAATACAACAGGAGGCATTGGCGATACAGATGTTAAAACAACAACGTCTGCAACAACAGGAAGCTATGCGACAACAACAAATACAGCAACAAAAGATGCAGCAACAGCAGAAACAACAGCAACAGCAAATGCTCGCACAACGACAGCAGATTATGGCGGTAGAAAACAAAAAGGATCAACTGGTTATGGTGATCAATTTTAATTTAATCTCAATGTATTTAATATTATTCTAATGTCAATTCAATTAATATTATTTTTAAAACTTTGAGCAATAATCCAAGTAGAAAAATATCTGGAAAAATCGACTAGCTAGTTTATATTTTTTTTTTAGTTTACTGGACAGTAATTATTTTAGTAATTGTAAAAAAATTGAGTAATTGGCCAAGAAATCTTGGTTAGGTAAAAAACTAGTCAGCTGCTAACTAAAAACTAGTCAGATCGAAAGTAATTCGTAAATAGATTTGTTCTCATTGCTTGCATTTTTTTATTCTTTGCTTTCTCTCTTTTCAACACTCTTTTCAACTAGAATTTATATTTATCTCGTTTCAAGTGCAAAATTTTTTATAGATTTTAAACAACAGTAAACTTAATAATTATATATGTATATAATAGCTAATTTTTACTTAATAAAACTTAAAATATCTTGATTATCATTTTTTGTTTACAAAAAAAAAGTGAATTAGATTAGACGGAACGTTTAAAATTATGGAATTCAAAAAATATTTAATATTATTTTTTAAAAATAAATAGGAATAAGAAAAGCTTAAATAATTGGAAAAATCAAAACATAATTTATTTATCTTTCATCATTTATAATATTACTATTTTCGAACATCTGATGAATACGTTAGTGGATAATATATGATAATCTGACATTGTTATAAAATATTGTTATTAATAAGATTTAAGACTTTAATATTATTATAAAAATAATTTAAGAATAAGTTTTATTTTTTGTTTTACGCGATAAATTTTGTTTTTAGTCCAACAAATTAGAAATTTGCTAGAAACTGCTGGTTAATACTGCTAAATTTACTATCTAGTTATTATTCAAACAAGCATACTGATAACATTATTACACCAACTTGCTAATAATAATCAAAATTTCTAGTCAATTACCTACTAATTTTTTATTTGTTTTCTTAGGATCCGTTATTATATTAAATATATGTATATATTTTTAGCTATATAAGTTTGATTATTCTAATAAAAAAACTCTTTGAGAATTAATACTTGATTAAATCTTGATAATAATAATACGTAGCACTTTGTATTTGTTCGTCTCTGTAATTTAAATAATTTTTTGGTTATCTATAGCCACAAATAATAGCGATGGCGGGAGCGATGCCACCAAAATTACCTATTATCGCCGCAATTCCATCAGTTAGTATGGTCGAAGCTGAGGCTCTTCCATCATCAAAAGTAACGGCTAATTCAATATCGTCAAACGCTGGCTTGCCACCTTTCATCGCGATGCCACAATCATCAGCAAAACTGTCAAACAGAATTAGTGGTAGCGGCACTCTGCTACAGGATTCGGATAACGAAGTATCAAAAGATGATTTCACACAGGTATAACTATATTCAATAACAATAACTTTATTAAAACTCTACATTATAAATATATACCATATTATTTAATATTTTTATCTTGTTTATTATTATAGTTATTGCAGCAGTTATTGAAATAAACTATGCGACAATTTTAAATTATGTATATCTTGTCGAAAACTTTGATCCTTATAAGTAAATAAAATGTTATATAATATATTTTAAGTCATATGTACAGGGTTGGCCATATTCGACGGAAAGACCTTGAACCCTATTAAATGATTTTTAAAATGAACAGCAAAAAATGTGTTTTTTTCCCATGATTGAAAAAAAACATCTTTCCGTCGAATATGGCCAACCCTGTATATCTGTAGACATACTTGAAGATTATGAGTTTAAATATTATTACTATTTTTATATAGCTACCTTTGCCGAGCGACGAGATGGCTGCTTCAGTGAACGAAATGACACTGCTCTCATTGCACCCTCTTTCTGCAACTGATACTAACCTTCAACAAAACGAGAAACGACAATCTGTACAACTACCCAGTTTACCTTCCTTGGCCCCCATCCAAGGAATGGAAACTTCATTAAAGGCTCTCGCAGAAGCAAGTAATATTACTTTAGAAGCTTTGGAAGCAGCAATTCTTCTGAGACAGCAACAACTTCTTAAAAAACAACAGGGACTCACTAGTACTACCAGTACCACCACCACAACATCCACACTTCCACCTCTTAAAAGGTAAATTATTTGTAATTAATACTTTCAATTTTCTTATTTAAGAAATCCTATAAACAAAAATGTAATTAATTTGAAAAAAATACAGGTTTTTATTTTATAAAAAATGAAATGTGTTTTGCGTATAAAGTATACAAAATGAACGATTTTGCTGGAAGAACAAAAGTTCTCTGGACACAGATCTGAAAATAATTTTGTTGGACCATCAAAATAACTTTATTGAACATTCGCTGGTTGTTAGAATATTAAAATTTTGTGCAGCATGATCGATATTTTTTAAATTTATTTATTTTAAATATAATTATTTTGACGGTCCAAAATTATTTTCAAATCTGTTCAATAAAATTTTAGATCTTTCAGCAGAATCATTTTTCCGTGTAAAAGACAATTGTATGGTCATTGAGAAGAAAACTTGAACTTTTCTATTTACAGTAAATATAATTCCGGAGTTACTAAAGTAATGAATGCACCGCGGGAATATTATCCTGTTGGTTACGACAAAAATTTTGACGATAATTTCGCAAGTCGCGTCGATCTGCCAGATACGAGTTTTTATTGTGGCGATCAAAAGCATTTCCCGGGTCTTTATGCCGACGAAGACTTGGGATGTATGGTGAGGCTTTTAAAAACTACATTATATTAAAAAAAGAACTTAATTAATTCTATTTAATACTTATTTCTGCTGTTTCGAAAATTCTTGAAATCAATTTGTGTGTGATTAGGTTTTCCACGTTTGCGCACTAACAGATGATGGTCTAATTATGAAGAGTTTCTTATGTCCAGAATCAACGTTATTCGATCAAACGATTTTAAAATGTAACTGGTGGTTCTATGTAGACTGTAAATCTTCAAAGAACTTGTACGACAGTAATATACCCATCAGCAAGAGCTATCAGCTGATGAAAGCCTTGGCATTCTTCTCAGCGTACAAAAATCACGATAACAGTACAAACAACGCAGAAGAAAGCGAAGATAATTCTTGAATCAGCAGCAAATTAATCAAAAATTTATAGAATTAATCAAAGATTTATAAGCTCAATATTCAATATCTGGAAATCGTCTTGTTTCCATGATACAACGTCTCATCTAGTTTACCTTTTTTATTTGTATATACATATAATTTATTTTGTTAATAGAAAATGTAGTAAATAGGTTTATATTTTAGAGAGAATGTAAATAGTACACGTTCCTCATTTATTGTTGAATAATAATATACAGTATGTTTTTGCATAAAATTTCTTCTAAATCAAAGTGTTGAAATAAAAAAGAAACACAGAAATAGAAGGTAAGTGAACAACAAGAAATTGAAAAAGCGTGATATTTATTAATGCTTAATATATATATTTATGATTATGCGAGAACAGTACACGGATTTAATTGCTGCGTCAGATCATTACAACAAACCGGCAATTGCACAATAACCGCAATATGCGATCTCAGTCTCTTCTGTTTTTTTATCAAATATCTTGCTTATATAAAGTTATTGACGAAATCATGAGTTTCATATTAAATTGCTCTGCAGCATGCATATCTACATCTCTATACATAAAAAACGTAAAAAAATTTCATCTATTAATTATTAAAAATTATTTGTACCAATAGGCGACAAAAATAGAGTTTTAATTGGCGATATATACTAACAGGAAACTAAAGGCAGTTTTTTTATTAAAAAGTCATAATGAGCATGATTGTCGGGAGGATTTCTATTCAAAATCCTGCTTGCCTCGAGAACACGATAGACAGCAAGACTCTTTATAAAATTGATAAGAGCATAGTCGTGCTTGCGTGACTAAATTGCAGTTAGCCATTTTGTCTTTGCAAACTGGATTATCTTCGACACCTAAAATAAATAAAATGTTAATATGACATAAAAATATTTTATATAATTTTTTATATAAAAGATTACTTTGTATAAGAAGAGAATACGTTTTGGCTTTTGGTAGAAGAATCTTTAAAAATTTAGATTGATATATAGATCTGAAAACAATTTTCGGACCATCGAAATAATTATGTGCAAAACTCAAGCATGATGAACAATGCTGCGAAAGTTTTGACATTCTAACAACTAGTTTAAGCACCAAAATTGCAGATCTAAATATATATGTATATAGTACTAAATTTTTTGATATTCAATAAAACGTTCCGTGTAGACTACAGAAATTGTAAAATATTAATATTATAAATAAGTTTAACGACGTTAATATTTTCTATACTTTAAACTTCAAAATTCGCTTAACCATTCGTTATCTCGGGATCGTCTTGAACTTGAAGAATCTTGTGAGAATTTTCAGGCGCGTGTAAATCGTCTCTGCAAGGATAATCATTGCATGTCCTTCGAGATACTGGTCGATCCTCCTCTCGGCAGTGAAGCTGATACGATTCAGGTAATTGACCATCTGAATTCAGACAACGGGTTTCGCGTTTCTGAATACCTTTACCACAAGATCGCGAACACTGCAAATCGATTTTTGGAAGTAAGTACTATTTGTTAAGTTCTATTTAGTCTTTGAAATTTAATTTTAAAATTTTAATATAATAAAATAAATATTTATATACCGGCGTCCAATCTGATGTAAACCAATCAGAGGTGCAGGTACGCTCTCTGCATGATTTTCTACTCTCCGGTTTGTTTGCAGGACAATTCATGTCTAAGACAACACGTAGAGAGCCTCGAAGAGTTGTAACACATACAACATCTCTTATTTGTTCACCTATATCGCAACTTGAAGAACACTATAAAGATATAAAATTATTTTTCGATACATATTAATAATTAAAATAAAAATATTATTATATTGAGATAATTATATACATAGTAGAACAAATATGATTATAAATATCTTTTCAAAGTCTCGTAATAATACATAATATATGTAATGTATACATACAACATACATATCAACACATAAACTTATAATCTTTGTGATACTACTTATACTACTTTTTATTTTAATATTTAAAATTTTTATAAATGTTTATATAGATAATTATATTTAAGCTTGACCTCCGTCCACGGTCCTGTGAACCACTGACCGCTGCAAGTTCTATTACTCAAACAATCTCTGGAAGTCTCAGGTCGACTCGATTCATCGCAATGTTCTTCGTTAGAGCTTGTTTCGCAAAGAATTCTCCTGGTTTGAACACCAGTTCCACATTCTGCCGAACACTACAGTCGATAATTATAAATTGTTGATAAAATCAATATGAAATATTTTTTAATTTTCATAATTTTAAATGTAGTATTTTAGATAATATAATAACTTGAAAATTATAATTATTATATTTTTTGTCAGTGCCCTCCTTCATTAATAAATTATTATTATCAAAAATAAAAATTAATTATATGATTGTTTTTTATTAGAATGATTTTTTTTATTGAGTGCAAGTGGTAAAGAGAGGTTCACCTGTTCAGACCACTCAGTGAATAACCACTGCGGGCTCTGAAGCTTCGCAGAAACAACGTTTAATGGCGTTAATTTCACCGGACATGATCCTGAGTCGCACGTTTCATTTGCTTCAGGTTTTTCTGAGAGATCACATGGAGTATCTTCAGTAGCACAAGTTACAACCCTCGTTCTTTTTCCTAAGCCACAGGACACGGAACACTTTATAACAAATAAAATAAAAAATTACAATCGTTTAAATAATTATTAAAAATTGCAGTCATTGAAATATTTATACATTAATAATTGCTAACAGAAGAATTAAAAAAATTTTTTTTAGAACCTATTTTTTATCAGCGGAAATCCATTTAAAGACATTCAATTGATACCATTTGAAACATTTTCGGTCAAAATTTATGACAATTAGGAGTAGGCTGTTTTATTCAACATAATATCGCTCTGTTAATGAAATTTACTAAATATCAAATTTCACATCGTTTTATTTCTTTACCTCTTTTATATAACAAATCAATTAAATTGATTAATTTTAAGTATCTGTGTCTGCGTGAACAAAATTACCTGAGACCAAACACCCACGGTCCATCGTGGAGTCAATGATTGAGGAGACGTCTGCGTCGATATTTGCCTAATCTCCTCGCACGATGGCATTTCGCACACTTCACTTATCGGAAGATTTCTCGGTTCTGTGCAGGCACCATCAGCAATTCTCATCGTTAACGCCGTTTTTACTTCCTGTACACACTCGAGTTCCCGTGTACGAACCCCAGTACCGCAAGAAGTAGAACAGTCACTCCATGGTCCGCCTCGCCACCTTTGAAAATACAGTTTTTAATGTTTCTATTTTTAAAAGATATAGAAAAAAATATAAAAATATTTTAAAATAATCAGATTTGTGCAACATTAGAAAACATGTTTATTTATTTATTAATAGCAATAACATTTTAATATACATGTAATATAAACGTAGGTAACTATACATTTGATATGAGAATTATTCTTTCGTACGGAATAAAAATTAAAATCAAGTTTACCTGGGAGGACATGGTATGGTATTACATCTGAGATGAATTTCGTGTAACTTTTCTATCCCATGGCATCTCTTTTCCGGTACTGGCTGCTGCGTATGCTCTTTGATACACACGTGTTTGAGTACCTGTACACCTTATGTAACATACAGAAACTCTTTGTACTCGCAGATCTCCACAATAGTGGAGGATTTATTATGAAACAAATTAATTATCAGTTAATTCTCATTTACCTCCACCACATGATTTGCTACATTCCCCGTGACCAATTGCTTTCCAGATAAATTTTCTTTTCCTATAACGTCGTGGTGAATACGATGGCGATGTTACAT